TCATGCCTATTCCTTAGGACAATCCTTAGGAATGAATGAATGAATAACAAATGATTCTTAGGGTAGATCCTTAAGAATAAAGAAGATAATGGGGATGGGAAGTTGGGTTAATTGTTTGATGATTAAGCATAATAACTATATTATTGTGGGTTGAAAACCCTATGTACTCACCAGGTTTCCCAACTTGACCCACTCAGTTTATTTGTCTCACATGTATCGATACGAAGACACATTACACTGAGAGATTAAAGGAGATGTAAATCATTAGTGTAAACGAATGTAAGGTTTGTTTATGCTTATGTTTTTGTATTGACGATGACATCCCAATGTTTTAATATAAATAAAATAAATTTCTTCGGAAATGCTTTGATAATATTATTATCATGTTTTTCTGGGAACAAATTCCGCAATACTACTTTTCAAAAAGGATACTCGTCATTTTCAAATAAAGCATAAACAAATCGGTCTTTTCTTGTGACAACCCGAAACTTTTTCCGTTTCCGTTATGCGATTTCCGTTAATAAAATTTGAATTTTATTAATTTTCCGTCAAACTTCTTGGTTTAGAAAATCATCTAGTTTTATATAATTAAATTTATATATGCGAGTCGGAACCAAAATCACGCGAAAAACCCGAAGTTTCCTTGAAAATCAAACAATTTCCGGCCTAAGTGAGTTTACGGCCGTAAACTCGTTTACGGCCGTACACCCATTTACGGCCAGCGAATGGTGGACCCCCACCACCCCAGGCTATATATATGAGACCCCCACCCTCATTTTGACCTTCTTGGCCGCAAACTCTCTCCTTCTACCTCTAAAACTCTTGACCGTAAACTCCTAAAACACCTTTATTTTTTCGGAAATCATCGAGAATCACCATTGGGAATCATTTCGGAGCATCTAGAGCACGTTTTACGTTGAAATCAGCATCTGCGTTCTTGAGTTTACGGCCGTACACACTTTATATCTTCAAAGGCCGTAAACCCTGTTCTTGAGTTTACGACCGTAAACTCATCGAATCTTCAAAAGCCGTAAACCCTTCAAGAGACAGTTCACGGCCGTAAACCCTGTTCACGGCCATAAACTCTGTTCACGGCCGTAAACCCCATTCACGGCCGTACACACTTTTTGAGTGGTGCATTTGTCTGAAAATCCACTTTCCTCGATTCAATCAAGTCCCGGTTTCCGTTAAGCGCCACACGCTACAACTCGAGGGCTTTCATTCAGTCTGTTGAATCGACGCTTGTGCACAGCTAACGGTGAGTTCATACCCCTACACTTTTCATGGTTTTTAAACGTTTTCAGGGGGAATACAAGCCAAACACAAATGATTTGTGAAACTAATACAAAAGGATTTTTAACAAGTATAAAACTTATGCAATTGATTCAGACAAACGATTTTCACGTTTTTATAATATATTTAGATATTTTATCCCCTTTTGTACTATGTTGAGCATAAGGGGCGTTTTCAACGTACAATCATGATTGCATAGTTTTCAGATCAATATACGAACCGGATATACTATATTCATGCAAACTATAATAGGTATAGTTTGGGGTTTTCAATACACTGAGTTATACATTGCTAAACATATAAAATATGACAGATTTAGTTTATGATATACATTACTACAAGATTACAACGATTAATAATTATTTAAGTATAATTATTACCTTATACAGTATTCAACGGATTCAAATACAAGAGAGCAATACAGAATTACATGTAAACTAGATTATACAGAATTGTGAGACTCTACTTCAAAACGGTACTCTTAGGTGTACTGAATTAAATCCTATCATAGTATAACCAGAGTCTCCTGGAGGGAGAGCGTGAGATTTGTGAATAGATCTATTCGGGACTGACAATCCCACACCTGAACTGCTAGCTACAGTTAGGCAGGCATGCCTGGGGTGACAAATGTCATAACATCTGACGCCTGAAGAACGTCGTAGAGGTCACTAGGTCATATCAAGCATGGTTATACGGCTCACAATAAGTAAAAACTAACCTTTGTTTACGGGATTTCATTCTTCATTAGTTTTATTTTAATTAATAGAACTATTATACTATACACTGGAGGATTCCAGGGATACAACAACTGGTTTTATTTTAAATAATAAAACTACTATACATACTGGTGGTAGCCAGGGTTTTTCAAACAGAACATACTATACATACTGGTGGTAGCCAGGGTTTTCAAACAGAACATACTATACATACTGGTGGTAGTCAGGGTTTTCAAACAGAACGTACAATACATACTAGTGGTAGCCGGGGTTTTCAAACTGAACATTCCATACACAGAGGTTTTCATACAGAATTCATCATACTATACGTATTGGTAGTAACCAAGCATACAAACTGATATGTTCTATACTACAAAGGATACCGTAACAAACTTTCATAGAAGGAACTGGTAATATCATGCTTTCACTAAAGAAAATATTGGATTTTCTTGGAAACATACGAACATTTTACAAGATACATCAACAAGTTTTCACTACAAAACATAGCTTATGAACTCACCAGCTTTATGCTGATACTCTTTCAAACCTGCTTGTATTCTCAGGAAATCAGTAGACAGGTACCTTCCGGAGTTTTGAGAAGACGAAGAGTATGGAGTCATGTCTTTTTATTTTGCTTATACTTTGATGTATGGAAACAAATTAAACAGATGTAAACCTTTTTCATTTATGTATTTAATGTTTGGTTGTGTTTACTATGATTGCTATGATACAATTGTTGTGATACTACACATGACGTCCTCCACCCCCGAACGTTTCCGCCGTTCCGGTTTGGGGGTGTGACATTTCTGACCGAGAAAATGGGGATGTCACATCTCCCCCACTTAAATTAGATTTCGTCCTCGAAATCACTCCTTACTACCTTCCAGATACGCCAGACGACCTGGATGATACTCCCACAACCTCGATACGGACTGAAAAGTTGACCCATACTTACAACATACTTCTAAAGCTATATTCGAAACCAACCTTAGCAAGGCCCCCATATTGACGACGAAAAAATCCTTGCTCCCGCTAACCTTAAATAAAGAAGGACAACCATCACTACTCAGCTCAAATCCAGGAGTTCAGTACCTTATCCGACCTACCGACATATAAGACAGTTCTGAATAACTGCCATTACGACTCCATTTCGCAATCCAAACCGTATGTAAACCCTTTCAACCCTGGATTACCTTGTTGTTTCCATTGGGAAACAAAATCCCTGACCATTCATTGCCGCCAAAAACCCTTCACTCGATAACCAGGCGACTCCCTGCCTGAGTCTCCAACGCTAGCACCATCTCGGGCTCATCTTGTTGTCCCATATTTATAATTCTGATGCAACCGAGACCTCCCTGGTCTTGTACTTACCTACCGATTAACCAATATAATAGAATTCCATCTGGTTGTTGAGGCTGATAGCCTCACACAATCGCACCACACAACTCCTGATTGAGTGTCTATCTGACAAGAGCTATCCTAGCTCGCCTATCATAATGGCTCCAACAGCCCTCCTGGTCTAACCAAGGATAACATAACCAACTATTCATCATTGTTGAATCCTTCAATTGAGATCGAGAGTGACTCCCAAAACAAGTCTTAACCCTTTTTGCGTCAACCGGGAACATGACTCTTGTCCTGAAATCCAAATATTTACACTTGCATTCTATCTGAAAAATTTCGCTAGTCCTCATATGGCCTAAGTAGGATGGCCCTTAGCGCCTTGTTTGTGGATGTAAGGGAAAACTTGAAAATTCGTATGTCATGTGTTCTTCACATTCGACCATCAATTTGTGAGTTGGACTTTGAGATTTGACATGATGCTGGAAATAGTTGCATGCATAACATGCCATTCATCATGAAAATCTTATTCACCTCTTGATATTGTTTGAACAAAATATTTCAACCCTTTTTCAGCTAAAATATTATTTATAAGTTTTGAGAGGATCATTTCGAGTATTTGGATTGCTATTCCTTACTCAAAATGAATTGACCCTCGAGTAACTCATTATATATTTCATTGTCTAACTTATTTTGGATGTATGTTCAGATCGAGAGGCTTGGTGCTTAGGAGATGGCATGGATTTTAGAAGACCCCAGCTTGTGGGGAACTTGAACATTTGTTTTTTATGATACCTAATGAACAACCTTGTTCCTTAAAACTCTTATCTAACTTTTAGGACCGTTATACTTTTTTGCATTAAAACTTGAAACTTTTGAACTTTGTTTTGAAAATGATTTTACAAAATGGCCCTAGTGATGGGTGTTACAGAGAAGACAGACTAAAATAGATGTGCTCCAATTTTCTTAAGGTGATGTTGATCGATGGTGATAGGAGATGAAGTAGCGACAACAACTAAAGCTCCGATGATATTTTTGGTGGTGGTCAGACAAGATGTACCGACGACGGGTGAGATTTTCTTTTTGGGAGAGATAGGCAATTAGAGAGGGAGGAAGGGGGTGGGTGGAATTTTCTTTTTGATTTTTTTAATTAAAATGTCTAAAATAATAATAAAAGAAATTTTTAAAAAAAATTACTAAATTAACATATTAATATTTTAGTTGATGCGGATCAAAACTATAAAAAAAATATCAATAAGACCAAAATCCTAAAAAAATATCCAAAATTAAATCAGCGGCCAATTATTTTTACATCACTAATTATTTTTGTAATTTTGTCTATTTAGATTTTTATGAGAAGGATTGTATTTTTGCAATTTTGTCTATTTAGATTTTTATGAGAAGGATTGTCGCATTTGGTATAGGATAAAACATAGACACGTGAAAATCACGTGATTTCGAGCTAAACAAGAAGTTGACTGGATATGGTACAAAACAAAAAGATATACACGTGTTTTTTGTTTGTATATGTTGGGTCTACCAAGGGTAATAAAGTCAATCTACTCCGCTCCATATTCCTATCCCACTGCAAACCTAATTATCCATCTTTCTCTTCAATCTGATTGCATTTTCCTGCCGACATACACACTTATGGCAGCTGAAGCTCAACAATTCTTCGATCTTTTCGATTCTTACTGGTTTGCACATCAAATCTTCAACAAAACCCTCATCCCACCTCCCAAATTCCACAAAAACGCAGAATCAATCGCTAAAACAACTCAAACTCTTCATTTCCCGGCTGTCCCCACCGTTAATGTCAGATCTTACAGTGACCAGTTGTTCATGGATGCCAAGAACCTGAGTTTCATCTCCGATTCTCCGAACTCCGTTCTTAATCTCCAAACTCCAAAGCTAGAAACCATTTTCTCCGGCATGAATATGAAAGAAATCCAAGAATTACCAGTCCGAGAAAAGGATAGAGTATCAGGAAGACGCAGAAAGAGGAAGAGCAAAAGCAAGAGCTTGTCGGAGCTTGAATTCGAGGAGGTAAAAGGGTTTATGGATTTGGGTTTTGTGTTTTCTGAAAAGGATAAAGATTCAAGCTTGGTTTCGATCATTCCTGGGCTTCAGAGATTAGGGAAATATGAAAAAGAAGAAGTCGATCGTTCTATTGTTGTTGCTTCGAGGCCTTATCTTTCTGAAGCATGGGATGATATGAAGAAGAAAAGAGAAGAAGAAGCATTAAGGCTGATAAGAATTCCACCACTTGGGAACGAAGTTGAGATTAAGCATCAGCTTAGATTCTGGGCTCATTCTGTTGCTTCTGTTGTTAGATGACATGAAATTAATATACTCAAAGAGTGTTTTCATGGGATTTTCTGAGTAATTTTTGCGATTTGTTTTGTGTACAAATTATGGTTTTCTGAAGTGTGAAATGAGTAAGATTACAGTCAAGTGTTGTCTTGGTTTGGGATTGATATTAATGGTTTTTGGATATGTATTGGACTCATACTCATGTTAAGTGAACAAAAGTTGCAATTTCTATAGCGTGTGCAAACTTATTTGAAGAAACTGACATAGATGTTGAACTAGAAAGCATATGTTAGATGAGCGTAAGTAAAAGTCACTTTCCCAACAACTCCCTATTTCCAAAGGATAAGCTATGTTACTCAATTTTCAACTTCCAATTATTTTTTATAACATGTGTCAGTGTCTTACCTATTACATATCAGTACGAGTATTTAAATTTTCTCTCCAATATTTTTATTAATCAAATTTTAAAGTCAATAAGTTATATGTAGGTTTTTCTGCTCATCTATAGTTTAAAGTTAGGAGCGCAAGTGCAATAGCTTTTTCAAGAGTTTATTAGGTATAAAAGCAAAAGAAAAGAAAAATATATTTAATTGTAGGTTTAATCCTAACTTTTTTTGAACAAGAATGATCCATATGGTTTCAAGTTTTTATATGGTTGGTTTTTGATACATATAAAATGATTTTTAGAATTTTTATTATTATCTTAAGCAAGTGGTGTTCGTAGACATTAAAATTGTTTTTTTGTCTAAGGGTCATGTCCAAATTGTATGATTTCAAACTTGGATTGAAATTGACAAGTTTGAAATGATACATGTCTTAGAATAAGTTCTCAATTAATTATGGAGTTTAGTTTTTGGCAACTAAGATATGAAAATGGTTGAGTTGGTGCAATGAAATAGTAATATATGTTTATAATTATGTTAAAACATGTATTTGTACTATTTGGTTAAAGTGTTATGCAATGATATTACAATGACAACTTTATGCAAAGTGGAAAGTCTGAAAATATGTTATCTATATGAGAAATATTTTAAGACTTCATTTTTTAATAGGCATTTATGACTTATTAGATTAAAAATAGTGTACACTTCAACCGAGTTATGTGTATATACTTATTTGTATGACATAGTTGATTTAATATACTTAGGATACCAAATGTATTATATATAAAAATCGGTATCTTATGGTTTGAAAACGGAAATATGATAACATGTGTGGTAATTAGTCATTTAGTGAAGAAATGATTGTATTTGTTATTGCTTTTCAGCTCGTTGCACATCTACATATTGGTATTGTTGCTATTGATTCTAATTAATTTAGTTTTCATATAACTACAACTAATAAAACATAAATATTTCAAACGAACACCAAGTATTTTAATTTTGAACATGCAACCTATTTGGTGTATTCTAATAAGATTAGATTTATATATAGAGATAGTAGCATTTTTTTTCTTCTTTATCTATCAAGTTTAACAAACAACAAATATTGTAATTGGCAAGTAGTTTGAACTTCAAAGTCTGGGCCTACTAGAATAGACCCATTGGTCATTCCGCTCCATAATTGTGATTCTATTCGGCAATAGAAAACAAACAATAGATTAGAGAATAAAGGGCGGCAAAAAAGTCAAAAAAACACTACAAGTTTGACTCGGTTTTTAATAATTTAATAATCTTTTCCTTATCCTTTAATTAATACAAAAATATAAAATGTTATTAAAATTGGTAATTATATTTTACATCCGATGACATGACATGATATACAACCCCCCAGCCTACTTTGTATTTAATGTCGTTTTTCAACTGTAGTGTGGGGTTTATAGATGATAACAGAGAGTGTGAACCAAAGTCTGTCGACAACACATATTCAGATCATATTAGGGTCTTAATTGTTATGCATATCACAGAACAAGACACAAAGACAACAAATGCAATTTTTTCGTCCAACCCAAAGAGGTGGAAGACATATGTTTTCATTTATCTATACAACTATTATATACATCCAAATTATATATATCATGAGAGAGACATGAAATGCATATACAAGTGAAAGAAAGCATTCTCATGATTTTTTTATAACATATGTTATAAAGAAGAGTCTTGTTCATTTAATTTTCAGACTGGGACTGTGATGGAAGCTTATAGGTGGCTGGTTTGTCAACACCCCGTCTCGAATACTCTCTCCATCTTCTTGCAGCTGCAGCCGCTCTTCTTGCTCTCTCTTTCACCTCCTCATCTGTGTCATGCCATCAAACTTCCTTTCAGACTTATGCAACAAATACCAACATACTTTCCATTCATTTTTACTTTATTTTTTTATGTATTGTACTTCGAAGATTCAAAGTATAATGTCCTGATATGGACTGTAATTGTGTAGAGTAAAAAAGTACAATACCTGTACTTTGATTTTGACCACGGGTTTTACCATTGCCCCAAAGGTTGCTCCAATAAGGGTCAGATTTGTCATTTGAATCTTTCGATTTCATCATTCTTACTCTAGCTTGCTCCTGTAATCAAATAATAAACTTCATCATTACTTACTAACTCATATTCTACATTTCTAATTCAATCATGTTTGTTTCCCATGATATAAACATGTTTATGTTTTTTTAATGCATAATAGCAACCTACTCATATTTCTTTGCCAATAATACCCAAATATATAAACCTGAAATTGTAATTATGTTGCTATTCTAGAGTGTTTACGTATGTATTCTTCATTTTAACTTCTTTTTATTAGTGAGCAAGAACCACACACATAAGAACATAAAAGTGAGAATTAAACGTCAAGAAACCCTGAATTCAGTGTTTAATAAATAAATAATATTTATTACCAGAACTTTGTTTTGTCTCTTTTCCCATCGACTGCTTGCCTGTCAAAACAAACAGAACCATCATAAAAAGATGTGGAGGGCATTTACGTCTTTTCAGACAATAGATGGACAGGGTTCATGGAAGAAAAAAAAACTAATCACGAAAAAGCAATTTATAAGAAATAAGTCTTACCATTCTAAAAACATCTGCAGATGAACCCATCCCTGCAAGCATGAGGGCAACCTGGTCAAAATAACCAAAGCAGGAGTTAGCAATATCATTAGTATATAACTAAAAGGAGAAATTATAATTAAGATATTGTTCATGTAAGAAATTATTACTCATAGTCATAGACACATTTGCTGTTTCACATTTAGATGACAAAGATTGATAAAAATGAGGAGGTAAGATAAATCTTTTACAGTATTTCTTACATTGACTCTTTCTACCCTCCGCATTTCATCTTCAAGCAAAGATACTTGTGCAGCAGAAGTCCAATGGATGCAATCAACAGGGCTAAAGAAAAATAATAATAATAATTTTCTCAAATGCCTTTCAAAGATTCAAACTTATGTTTACTTTAATGTATGCATAAAGATAAAATAACTCTAATAGAATAATGTTGGTGTCAAATGGTGGAGTAAATCCATATTTGATGTAAACATTTTTAAAAAATTTTACCAGCTATCAATAGCTTGTTGAACTAAGTCAGTGCTTCCTTGCTGATTACATGCTCTAGCTCTACCAAAATCCTCCTCTATCATGAACACGTCTGAGCAAACATTGGCACAATTTTTGCAGCCTATCATAAACAACAATAATTAATTAATTAATAAATTATATGTCAAGATATTCTAGACAAGTAAAGTTAATTGTTTATGTAGAGATGTTAATCTACTCGGAAATCAAATGAATTAGATTATATGAACAAGTTGAAATTGATCATATGTTTGATTGGCAGGAATTGGAATGGAATTTAATTCCATTCCTATGTATGGAATGCATATATGTGGTCAAGGACTTCAAATGCAAAATAGTGAAAAATGACAAAATTGTTGTCTATTGATTTCTTGGTCTTGGAAATTCTTCAAAAACTTTTTGAAATATTTATGTTACACTTTATTTAATTTTTTGTTCAATAAAATAATGTTATACATATTAGTAACATGTATTATCCAAACACGACAACAAATTATGAAACAAATATGTTAATAGTAGGGTTTAGAATAGGTATTTCAGTCATTTAGCAACCAAACATGCCATACGTAACAAAATGTCAAAAGTACCCTTCTTGCATAATGTATTAATGTAGTAAAGCAAGAACATGAACACGTACCTATACAGCTAAACTCATCAACAAATACATGATCCTTAGGAGAGGAATCATCAAAAAACGGATTTATTGCAGTCAAAGCATATCCATGGATTTCATCATATACCATTCGCTGAGCTGGATCGCTGAGAACCTACACTGCAATATTTGATTTACATAAGAAGCACAAGACATAATAATGTGTGTAGCATATGCAGTTTCATTGACTTGTGTTTTATAGCATCCTACTTTTATTTCTTTCTATTACAACATTCTACTTCCAACTTTTTACTTATTAAGGCATTGTATGTTGAAAAATCTACTCAGTTATAACATCATACTTTACAAAATCTACCCATTATAGCAGTGAAATTTTGAAAATTGCTTTGTATTTGGATGACATTGCTATATATGGTTAGATTTTTTTCCATGCATAATGTTGTAATAGGAGAACATGAAAGTGGGATGATATGATAAACATATGAATGAAAAAACTTTTCATGGTATGAACCCACCTCATAAATCTCATTAATGAAGATGCAAAAGTTTGTAGTGTCTGGATTATTGCCACTCAAGTCAGGGTGACATGATTTCATGCAATTATAATAGGCTTTCTTGATTTGCTCTGGAGTTGCATCTGGAAGCTGATTACAAATGAGAAACAATGAGATGAGTATAAACCAATAAGTCAATAACCATGATGGTAAAGAATATTTGACTGACATAATAATTGATAAAGAACAATCTGACTGATGGTCAGTTGGTCACCAATTTAGTGTAATGTATTGGAACTAGGGTTCAACGCTTTTCTAGAAAACAAATTATGGCTTAATGCTGCTCCTTCTAAATCCAATTCCATATATTCCTAAAACTGAACTATTCTTACTTAATAATCACATTGCAGATATTCAAATACTTTATATACGTAAATCAATGTACGCAACTAGTCAAAAATGCTAAAATGTCGACTTCCTGGGGAGCGATGGAGTTTTTCAAAAGTAAGCATATGAAATCAAGGAAGAAACAGAAGCCTAAACAAGAAGATGAAACTGAATTTCAACTAAAAAGAGTGAAATACGACCAGAGAGTAAGAGAATTTGACATACCAGTCCTAAGACAGCATAGTAATCATCAGCAACAGCATCCGATGAATACCGCGACGAATCAGTGGCGACTTTAACTCTGCTAAATCTTCTTCTTCTTCCCTCGCCATGGCCGATTCCATTCCACCTTATACTGTTGTTGGTCGCCAACATCGACGATCTGTTGCTTGGTGGATACAAGCTGCTCATTCCGTTTTGAAATTTAATTGGATCTGTGCAAACCGGAGATAGTAATTGAGCCATTATTGAATGATCTTACGAAGAAGAAGAAGAAGAAGAAGAGATGGTGAATTGGAGAAAGAAGAATGAGTGAAAATGGTGTGTGGCTCCAGGGAATTAACGCAGAATAAATAGTGAGGAAAATTGAGAGCCATGAGTTTAATAGAGCCTCGTCTCGTACAAGTAAGATTTTGGCATGTAGATACACGTGTCGTCACGTGGATGTACAACTCTTGCACGCTTCTGCACCATCATTTTTATTTTCCTAACAAAGAAACGGAAGATATTTTATATTAATTGCAAAAAATAATAATAATAATAATAATAAACATATCTTATATTTTATTCGAAACAAATTATTTGTAATAAAAACTAACTTCGGATGTGTTTCTGATGTTAGTTTATCAAGAAGTAGTTGACATTCAAAACCTTGTACACACCACGATAATTAACTTTGTTTTAGGTACTCATTTCATAGTTCATTTCATAGTTGTTGATTTAGGTTCTATAGATTTATAAGTAGATATTGTGGACATATAACATCTATGTTTTCGTGCATAAATTTATATAGAAATTTGTGTAAATACGTGTAACACGGTTAAAAACATATTGTATTCCTATAATATATATTATTTGCATGTTTGTGTTTTATATCTAGACACGTTTTACAATTCATGTCGTATATATTCGTCTCTGATACAAATATACGAATTGTCAAGTCTACTTCTAAGGCTATGTTTGGCTAACTAGCTGAAAAGCTAGCTGTTAGCTGAAAAGTTAGTTGTTAAATAAAAAACTAGCTGATAAAAAATAACATTTGATAAAACTAGCTGAAAAATATAAAATGACATAAAAAGACATTTAAAAGAATGTGTTTTTATAATTAATTAAGTGGTATATCTAGAAAATTTTAAAAAAGATCCTAAAAAGCTAGTCTAAGTAGTTTTTTAAAAATCTAACATATAAGTCACCTTATAAGCTACTTTTTGGTTTGCCAAACATGACAACTTAAAAAAGCTCACCATTCGTCCCTCGTGCACATGCCAGAAAACGTGTTTAGTCCTTATTTTAAAAAATTAACTCGGACCGTCCCTCATTCGTTTAAAACTTGCATGTTTCGTCCCTCTGGACATAAAATGACCATTTTGCCCTTATTTATTTCTTTTTTAATTTTCTTTTTATTTGTTTATTATTTTAGAATAAAAAAAAAGAAAAAAACAATAAATAAACATACATGAACCCACCCCTCCCCGCTTCCCCCTCCTATGTATTCCTCTACCTTTGTCCCCCATTCTCAGCCACTCCCAACGCCGGCGAAGCCCCATCAGCCCCACCTTCACCTTCACCCAAATGCGATAAACCAAAATCGGACCAGTCGATCTTCATCCTCCTCCAATCGCCTTTATCAAACCCTAGAACTCAAGAAGGAATTGTACATGGAATCATCAACAGCACCACCATCGCCGGTGGAATCATCAACAACACCACAATCACCACCACCATCTCATATCTCCACTCAACCCTAAGTCGCTTGTCGTTTTAACTGTTCTCAATTTGCAGCAAATTAGAAGATCGAAAAGAGAGAAGTAAGTTGCAATTTATCCTTTCCCCAATTTCCTTTCTATTTATTTGAATTTAATCGGTCATCTCTCTCACTCTGTCTCATAGACTGCCAGCACCTCCTGCAATCACCACAGTCATTACTCAAACCTCAAAAAATGAAACTTGAACTGCAAATGAAACCAAACTAAACCCTAAACTTATAAATCGAAGATGATGGAGATTCAGATCGGAGAAGCGGGTTCTGATCGAACCAAAATCTTCTCCATCGACAACGGAGACGGAAAGGTGATCACATTCCGGGCGGTGTTTAAGATGGTTTTTAGGGGCTGATTTGGTTGTTTTTCTAGGCGGTTTTGGTAAAGATATAGTTCAGAAATTGGGGGGATAGAGATGGTTGGCTTCGAGGGTAATATAATGCAGGTGGTATGTTGTTTGGAGTCAATGAACTGATGATGTTCGAATGGTGCAGGTTGTACGAAAGTGGTTCCGACTGTGGTGGGTTTTCCAATTTTGAAGGTATGGTTTAAATTGGGTGTTGGTTGCGGTTTGTGATGATGAACAGGGGTGCAACAAGGGTGTTCCGATGGTGATGTAACCCGACAAAGGAGGAGGTAGGAAGCTGGTGGTGGGTTTTAAGGTGTTATAAGGTATATGTTTGACGAAGAAGGATTGGATTGGGAAGTTGGCGATGGATGTATGGTGTTTGAGAGATGCAGGTGGTGTTCATCCAATGATTTGTTGGGGTGGGGGCATGAAATGGGGCCATATTGTTTTTTCTTTTATTTTTAAATTAAAAAATAATAATTATAACATTAAATTAAATGGAAAAGAAATATAAAAGGGCATAATAGTCATTTTAGGTCTCGCAAGGGATGTAGCTCGCAAATTAAAACTAATGAGGGATGTAGCGTGCAACTATTAACCAAACGAGGGACGGTCCGAGTTAATTTTTGAAAATAAGGACTAAACACGCTTTCTGGCATGTGCACGAGGGACGAATGGTGTAATTTACCCAAAAATAAATTAGTTTTTCAGTTAGTTGTAACGCGTCAAACACAACCTAAGAGCATTAACATGAGCTTTTTACGAGCTTTAACAAAAGGTTTTTGAAAAATAAAAAAACTTTAAGGAGCTTTTTCAAACTAAAACTTTTTTCGAAAAGCTTGTTAATTTTCGACAAAATTGCAAAAATGGTCCCTGTGGTTGGCAAAATTCTGTAGTTTTGGTCCAAAACGAAATGTTGGTGCACCATTGGTCCAATTTTAGATACCTTGTGTGGTTTTGGTCCCTATGGTTATATTTTCTTGTGTTTTTGGTCCACATCCCACCTAAAATGACTAATATGCCCCTTAAATAATTATATTTTAATTTCTTTTATTTATTTTCTTATTCTTATAATAAAATAAAAAACAAAAACAAAATAAACCCACCTCTCTCTCTCTCTCTCTCTTCTCTCTCTCTCTCTCTCTCATGATCTTTATGCCCATCTCTTAAAATACCGACCCCTCATCTCTTCCATTGTAGTGCAGGAAGAAGCTACACCACTCTACTGCCCACCTCAATGATCCTTCTGGCCACCTTGCTCCACCATAAACGACTAACACCTCCCACCGGCCGCTACTTCCCCTTCCCCGTCGTGAATCGCTAGAGCAAGCAAGAAAACCAAAATTCGACTGCCACCCATCGCCGATGCAAACCTCCACCACCCACCACAACCGATGCCGTCGAAATCCCTTCCCCGAACTCCCTTTCATCTCCAACTCGTCTCTCTCCCTCGTTTCTCACTTCTCTGGCGAAGAGAGCCACCACAGTCGACTGTGGCAGCTCCTACGCCTCCCCCTGTCGTGACCCACCACCATCAAACACCCCAACGCCGCTGCTGCCTTCTATCTGTTCCTCGTCAAGCTACCTAACAAAAGAGAGAGGAAGCGGCGGAGCCACCCGTTGCCATCACAGCTCTGCCATCACCACCCGATGCCATCACCACCCCCGTTAAAGCAAACGCCACCAAACCACCTGTGACGTCGTGCTTCTCGTCTGAACTCTTTTCTCGCCTCTTTCCCTTCGAAACCCCTAGCCACACCGAGCCCCCTTCCTTCGCATCCTTCTTCCAAGACAGAAGAGCACAAGAGTTGTACCACTGGACCATCGATCGACCTTGTGGCTGTTCCCATTCATATTTCTTTTTCTCCATCGGACGAGCATCTTCATAATTTTGTGTATTTTGTGTGTGTGTGTGTTTAAGAAGATGAAGTTAAAGAACCCAGATGAAGATTTAGTGTGTGTGTGTGTGTGTGAGAGGGAGGGATGGTGGTGCGTTTTTTTATATTTTGAATAAAATTTGATAATAAAAAAATGGAAAAAATATTTATAAGGGCATAATGGTCTTTTTAAGTAGATAGGGACCAAAAACATTAGAAATATCCAATTTTGGACCAGTGGTGCACCAACATTTCGTTTTGGACCAAAAGCACATAAAATCGACAACCACGGGGATCATTTTTGCAATTTTGTCTTAATTTTCAAACTTTTTAGTTTTTCAACCAATTGCAAACAAACAATTATACAAACAAAGCATAAATAACAAGATTGAAATGCTCTCTTATTTTGAGGGATATTAGACAATTATGCAAACAAAACATTTATAATCAAATTGAAAATGGTTTTTATTACGAAGGATACATAGAACTTTTTCATTTTTTTATAAAGAATATAAAGAAATTTTTTTCCATTCTGATCAGGGATGGGATTTAGAACCGGAAAACCGAACCGGAACCGGAACCGTTAGAACCGGAATATATAGAACCAATTTCGGTTCCGGGTAATCCGGGTTTGGGTCCATCGGGTCCAGGTAAACCGGGTCGAAAAACCGGAACTGGTGTTAGGAACCGGAACCACTTTTAGGGCCGGAACCAGTTTTTGTGAAACGTATAAAAGATGCATATCTCATTTGTTTCAACTCCGATTGACATGCGGTTTTTTCCAAAGTGTAGTTTAGAGTTTGTACATGATTTTAGACTATAAATATTCCACTTTTAGTTTTATATTCATTGACTTACAGTCCCCCAAAGTCGAGATATCAAAGCTGAAAGTTTTTAGTTTTTCAGTTTTTTTGTATTCTGTGAAAGTTTTAAAACATACATATCTAATTCGTTTGAAGTCGGATTGACATGTGATTTTTTTTCAACTTGTAGTTTACAGATGGTACATGAGTTTAGACTATAATTTTGTCATTTTTTGTTTAATATTCAATGATTTATAGTCCCCCGAAGTCGGGATATCAAAACTGAAAATTTTCAACTTTACAGCTATTTGTTTTTGTACTTTGTATTCTGTGAAAATGTTAACACATGCATATCTCATTCGTTTAAAGTCGGATTGACATGCGGTTTTTTCCAGAGTGTAGTTTAGAGTTTGTACATGATTTTAGACTATAATTTTGTCAATTTTGGTTTCATATTCAATGAGTTACAGTCCCCCAAAGTCAGGATATCAATATGAAAATTTTCAAAGTTCAACCCATTAAATAGTAAGTTATTACCAAAAAATTCCGGGTTTTCGGGGTTTTTTGGTTCAAGACCCACTTTACCCGGTTCCAACCTACCCACTTTGATGTTTCCGGGTTTTCCGGTTCTAGATCCACTTTACCAGGAACCGGTTCCAATATACCGGTACGGTTTCCGGTTCTACAAAATCCCGTTAAGCGGTTCCGGGTTTTTCGGGTCCGGGTCCATCCGGTCCGGGTTTGGACCCACTTTCATCCCTAATTCTGAAGCTTTAAATAATCGAAATCTCTGCTCCAAGTTTAATGTAACAAATTTGTGAAAACCGAAACAAATGTGGCCATTCTGTAAAATACAGAAACTATGGAGACCAAAATGTGAAATTCATCAAACATTTCCTTTGATGGAATCCTAACCTAAGCCCTCATATCCTCAGACCTCTCTGTAGCTTACGCTTAGCTTCCAGAAAATTTTGAAATCTTTCAAATCAATGGTGGCTTTTCGATCCTATAATTTTGCTGATCATTCTTTATTATCAAATTCGAATCGCATTTCTAGAATTTTGTTTAGAAACTCATTTTCCTCAACAAACGCACAAAGCCCTATTATTCGAAATCATGATGCTCTGTATAAGCGCATATCGCCGGCGACAATAACGCCAAAGACTTCAGTTGTTCCGATACTCGATCAATGGGTACAAGAAGGTAAAAATATCGTAGCTGATGAGCTCAAAAACATGATCAAAGTTTTCAGGAATCATAATCGATATTCCCAAGCTCTCCAGGTTAGTATATGATTCTATCTTCGCTTTTGTTTAATGCCATTACATTACTAGTATTTGAAAGTTAGGCAACATTTGCTCTTTGTAGATCTGCCATTCTGGTGTAAGAAGTTGAAATTTTGTTGGCCATGATTTAGTGATCAAATCCTTAGTTTTGAACATGAAATCACTTGGATTGGCTTCGACATATGAATGATATAAGAATTTGAACAAAATTGCACTTATTTATCCCTGAATATCTTGCTGCATATTCTGATTTCAGCTCTCTGAATGGATGACTAACAGAAGTTACCTTGACCAATCATCTGGAAACCTTGCGATTCACTTGGATTTGATTTCAAGAGTCCATGGTCTAGAACAAGCTGAGAAGTTCTTCGATTCAATCCCAGACTCTTTAAAGAATTTCAAAGTCTATGGAACACTCTTAAACTGTTACGCCTTCAAGAAATCCTTAACAAAAGCAGAAGCCACCATGGAAAAGATGAAACAGTTAGGGTTCATGACCACACATTCTTACCATAGCATGTTAAGTCTATACACCAAAACCGAAAACCACGAGAAGCTAGTCAAACTCATTGACCAAATGGATAAAGCAAACGTTCGTTATCACAGACAAACATATTACATTCTGTTAACAGCATACGCTTCTTTTGACATCAAGTCAATGGAAAATCTTCTTGCTTACATGGAAGCCAATCCTTACCTCCCCCTCGATTGGCATATTTACATCATTCTTGCAAAAGGGTATCTAAACTTTAATCAAGTTGAGAAAACCCTAGAAATGTTAAAGAAATCAGAGGAAAACATCTTTCAGAATACAAATGGTGTTGCTTATGAAATCTTGCTTACAATGTACGCTAGTTTAGGTAAAAAGGATCATGTTTATCGTATATGGAATTTGTACAAGAAAACATGGAGGAAAGTTGATAACAAAGGATATCACCATATGGTAAGTTCGTTGGTGAAGTTGGATGACATTGATGGAGTAGAAAAGATTGTGGAGGAATGGGAATCAGTAACTCCAATGTTTGACTTTTGGGTAGCTAATGTTTTGGTCAATGGGTATAGCAAGAAGGGTGATTGGAAGAAAGCTGAAGCTTTTGTAGAGAGATTGGTTAGTGAAGGTAAGAAACCTCCTAGAAGCACGTGGGATAGTTTGGCAATTGTGTTTAGTAAACATGGAGAGATGGAGAAGGCTGTGGATGCAATGAGGAAGGCGATTTTGAGTAATGGTGATCATTGGAAACTAAATGAAGTTACTTTGAGGACATGTGTGAAGTATTTGGAAGAAAAGGGTGAGATGGAAGTTGCAAAGGAGTTGTTGAAATCAAGTGAGGGTTGTAGAGATTTGAAATTTGTTAGTGATGTGGTGGAGGTGAGTGGATGAAGGGAGATGACTTTATCTGGTCGGTTTGACTTAATACAGAAACAACGACTTGATAAAGAAAGTCAGGAGAAGGGAATGCACTTTCAAGTGTCAAGTCCTAACTTTTTATAAATTTGCTTTTATTTACTTTTTCGGACTTGATAAAGAAAGTTAGGGTAGGGAAATGTACCATTTTGGTAATGATTTTCTATTGTTCGGTTTTTAGTTGTATTTGTAAGGTTGATTTTAGCTTGTATTTCGGTGGTAAGAGTGGACTTGACATTATTTTATTTTAATCAGTATAAAATACCAAAAACTTGCACAAAATAACAACCTACTTACCCCTTGCTATAAAAAAATATGGAAATATATTTTTCTTTGTAATGTCAACAAACTTACATTTTTTGATGGCATGGTTCTCGTTGCAATTTTATCATCCGCGTCCACTAGCACATGAACAAACACGTTTAATTATGTCGGATTTTATGATATTTAAATAGCATTTAAAATGTTCTTTAGTTTTTTTTTTTTTTTTTTTTTTTTTTTTTTTTTTTTTTTTTGTAATATTTTACTTATTTTAATCAACCAATGGTAATGACTATTCAACAACACAATTTATACCATAAACTACTATATCTTAAAATAGATATGTATGAATTCATGGGTATTGAAAGTCTTTTTTTTTTGGGAGGGGAATGGGAGAAGACTTTACGATGATTAAAATAAGTAAACTTAACCTATATTATAAGCTAAGAAACTAAAATACTAAATTAATGCAAAGGCTTCTAACTTCTAATTCTAAACAAATGTCAAATGGTAATGTTTCCTAATCCTTTTAGACTTGGAAAGCAAGCAACCAAATAACTCCCAAAGAGGGAGTATTCACTCATACTTAGCATTTTAAACAAATATCCATCATTATATTGTTGGATTTGTTGAGGAACGAAAAGATTATTATCATTACTATATAATAGAAAAAATATTGAGAAAATATCTAAGAACAATAAAGGGGCAAAATTTAGAATATCATATAAATAGTTATGGATCTCACAAAGATAAGGGTTTATGAACTAAATTTAATTGTTGTAATACTAATTCTTAGTCATGGTGGGTTGTGAGAACCCCACTTCAAATACAATTTCATCCCACAATATTATAGAATCAGGGGCTTGAATATAATAATTTGAAGTTTTAAATAATAGAGTCTTATTAACAAAACCTTACAGGTTTAGTAAATTGGTGTTGTTCACTTAATTAGATCACTTGCATTATTAGTATAGTTTAGTGTTATTTGTTTGTTTTCCTGTTAACTACTCTATTTATACTATTGTCAGTCGTTGATTTTTCGTTCTTTATTGTTTTACTTATGTTAAAAAGATAAATAATATGAGAGAAATATGATATGAAACGGGAAAGGGAGACGTGTAAGGTTAAAGTAAAATAATGAAATTTTTTAAAGAACATAAACCCAAACAAACATTTTAAAATGAAGTTGATGCATATTTTAAATATAATTGTAATTTTGGGATTTTGCCCCACTCTCAAAATTCCACTTAGAGAAAATATATTTTGGGAAGGACTAGGAAGACAAAATTTTAAAGGAAACGACATTGTGAGGCTTATTTTGGACATAATGGGTGTTACTTTGGGGCATATTTTAAAAAAATTCCTTGACAAATTATTTTTTATGATGATTCCAAACAATTTTTTTGTATTTATATTTAGTAGTTAATATTGTATGTTTTGCCAAAAAAAAAAAATCCTTTGACATAAGTCTTAACTTTTATTTATTTTTATGTATTTATGAAGAAAACTTGATATTTTTTTTAGTTTATGTTAACATTGAGAAGGTTATTTGATATGAACTTATGAAGGAACATAAATTATGGAGAAAAAAAAAATATTATGTACTGTGTACAGATCAAGTAAACTTATTTATATAAAAAAACATAAAAATAAATAAAGACAGTTTTTGAATTTTCTAACAAATTAATATGTTAGAAAAACATGAAAATATGAATATTGTAATGCTTAGAAAAATGAGAAAATAAAGGGAAGTTAGCCAAGAGATGAAACGATGAAAAAGACAAAAACGTGAAAAGCAAAGCATCACCATAACAATTTACACCAATAGCAATAGCCAATGGATGATGACGACTTGCCTTTGGACTTTCTTTCTCCCTTCAGCCCAAACCACTACCAGGAGGCAGAAGGAGATAGCATAGCCATAGCCATAGCCAATCCATAGCCATACCCATATCACTGTAGCAGCAGGCGCAATCCAATCATCTCCCTCCATTGTCACTTCGATCTCATCTCCTCCAAATTTCAAACAACATTCAAATCCCCGGGGTTTTTCTATCTTTCTGTGCATCTGATTCTTTGGCATCTGGAGCCGGTCGGTGTTATCTTCATCTTCTTCTGTTTCATGTATTATCAATTGCATAAACATCTAAACAAAATTTTCCATTCCAATTTCACAGTTTGCAGTCCATCGGAAGCAGTCGATTGAATTGCAACTATATGGAGGTGTAGTTGCTTCACTTCAACCCTAACTTTGTACCTAAATATTGATTCTGTTTGTGTACTTCTGTACGAATTCAATTTTATGCTATCGTGATTTAGATGCGTTACATAAACTTCTGTACGAATTCAATTTTCTGAATAATTCGTGAGCTTTCATACCTTAATAATCTGACGATCCTATCTGATCGAGTCACGTGAATAGCTTCTAGATCACCTTAACTTTAACCTTTCTCGGGATCTTCAGCCAGTTTTTCGCTTAGCTTAAAGATACTTTCTGGTTGAATTGGAATCAGTGAGCTCTGCCATTTTTTGTATAACAAAAATAGATACTCAAATAGAATGATCCTGCATTAGACAATACCATTGTTTTCACGGCCTTTCCATTTCCAATAGCTGCTTGTTCTGTACATTTTTTTGTTATTATCTTTCAACTAAGAAAAATACAGCCCTGTTTCTTTTCTGTCCCATGAATTGCTGTTTTGACAAGTGCTGTCTGAGTAAATGATGACTAAAAACATAGGCATTCTAGCGAGTGATTAAATGAGATAAATGTGTAAAAGGTTTAGGACTTAATGAGGAAAACCTTCTTTTCCCCAACTTTCTCTATGAGTATGAAGTAATTGTTTCCCCTGAATTAAGTTATAAAGAAATACCCATATATAACTTACCAGATCAAGTCCATTAAGTAAAAAAAGAAACAATATGTTTTAGAGGGATACATGGTTCAGTTTCTGCCTTTTCCTTTTGCTGTCTGCTTTTGTAGTTGTTTTCTCCACACTCTATGGTGTTGTTTGATGCTTCTTTATCCTTCTATGTTTATTACTTCTTCCATTGATGGTTGGTTTTCATTCTTATGAACTTTGTTGTAGCTTTTTCTGTTCAATTTTGTAATATCACTTGTTTTATCTAGTTTTCTGTTTCTGGATAAGCTTAGTACCAATGGTAATTAGGATCAGTGTAGACCTTACTCTTCCATGGCTGAATGAGTCGAGATCAGCAATATGGTTGAAGTTTTTGTTGATTATGTTTTTGCTATTGGAAAGATATACAACACTTTTGTCATCTTTAAGATTAATTTCATTAGCCACACGTAGTGATATACTATTTTGTCTCAATCAGTCCGCTTGTATTAGCCCTAAAATTTGTCGCAAGTGTAAATAAATCATTACTCTAAATTAGAATGCTAACTTGTTTTCATGTCTGTATTTTAGCACTTACATATTTCACTTTTTTTGGGTTCAACTTTTTATCCTTACACTATGTTTCCTCCTGTTTTGGAATACATGCTGATCAAGGTTTGAGTTTTATGGCTGTTTCTATGTTAATTTGTTATTCATTTTCATTTAGATGAATGAAATGTGTGTCAAGTGAAGTGTGCTTCTAGTTTAAGTCTAGGAAAGAAGATATTATGTGTTGATCATCAAGCAGTTAGTGGTGCAAATTATTATGGATGTGGTGAGTGGAGGTAATGGTCATGACAACAGCTCAAGTCTAGCTTCTAAACAACGCCTTCGTTGGACACATGAGCTTCATGAACGATTTGTTGATGCTGTGGCACAATTGGGTGGCCCTGATAGTAAGTTTCCTTGATCTTCATTATCTGAATTTAAGTTTATTCGTTGCATTTTCTTCTTGCTTTTTTTTTTTGAGCATATAGTTGAATTTTCTACCATTCTCTCTATATAAGCAGACTATCACTATATATACTTCCAGGGCATTAGACTATGCATGTGTGTCTTCTATTGCACAAGAACTGGAATGAATTGTTTTTCTTAGAAGTCTAATAAGCTATGCAGTGTTTCCATTTTTGAGAATTTGTTCAAGTGAACTAATATATAGTCGTATATTAATCATTACAAAAGCAGTTATGGTTCATTTTGGTCCACAAGATCTTTAAGTTGAAGTGAAAAGATATATTGGGTATCTGTGTTAGTTGTTTGTTGATTTCTTTTTTCAAGTCAAACTCTGCAATTCTAAGTGGAGAGGGATTAAGCTATTGTTTCTTTTTTACTTAATGGTCTTACTCTGAGAAGCTATTTATGGGTGTTTCTTTTTTACTTAATGTAGAAAGAATGGTTTAATAGATATAGTTGAGGAAAAGAAGCTTTCCCCATTAAGTCCTTACTATTTACAAATTTATCCCTCTTAATTTTTTTCCTTTTCGCAAGTGTGGAGTTGTCTTCTCAAGTATCTTTTAAACATCATTTATCTGGAATGAACTTTATTGAGACGACACTGAATGGGGAAAAGCAAGAAATACCAATATGTCCTTAAAAAGAAAAAGGTCTTTAAAGCTGCAAGTTTAATAATCAAGAAACACCAATATATTCTTGTTGTCACAACCTTAACTAACAGTTTCCATAAATGTTGGTATTTCATTGTTTATATGAAATAAGCAAATATCATCTAAGCTAGAAGCATAAACACCAGGAAAGAAGTTGTTTGTTTTGTAATTTGTACGATGGAATGGAATTGAGCATTATAGTAGGAATGTGTTTCCTTCCATTTTGTTATTTTTATTCCCTAGCAGGGAGTATAGTTTTACTGATGTAACCTTAGTGACAAATGTTTTTAAAAAATTTCATGTTTTTTAATTAAATTACAATTTTATTTACTAACATAACTAGAAAATATATTTTATTATTATCTTATTTCGGTTATAATGAGCTTTTATTATATTTAATTTCTGTTGATGTAAACAAAAAATACGACAAATTTGTACTTGAATAATATGTAGAGTAGAGGTAAAAAGTTGATAAGATAAATCATTCCATTCCTGAAGTTGAATAATATGTAGAGTAGAGGTAAAAAATTTACTTTCACTCCTACCTTCATTTCTTCCTATCTCAGTTGTCAATCTTCTACTCTGAAAAATCAAAAATCTGCCCTATTATTATAGCAATATCATGAAAATACAAAGCAATTTTCACAGATAGATTTTTCCAAGTATTATGTCCTAAATATTGAATTATTATTGGGTGGCTCGTTTAAACTACAATGTGTTAATAAGAAAAAAAATTACAATTACAATGCTAATATGCTATAGTAATAAATGAAAGTATGTTGTTATTTATTGCATGTAGTCCTATTTTTAATTGCATGACTGATTTGTGAGGCTTGACATGTTTTACAGGGGCTACACCAAAAGGCGTGCTGAGAGTGATGGGTGTTCAAGGTCTAACAATTTATCATGTCAAGAGCCACTTGCAGAAATATAGGCTGGCAAAGTACCTCCCTGATTCCTCTTCTGAAGGTATTCAGTATTCTATTCTGTATGTAATATCAGTATATCACCTAAAACAGCTTATTTTAATCTTTATAAGTAGGCTGCCATTTGTTTATTGCATTTAGCCCAAAAAAACAGATGTGCTGACTGCTGATTGATTATTTTGGTTAAATTGGTAATGCAAGGTAAAGTGTTTGACCAGAAAGAGTCGGGTGACATGCTTTCCAGCTTGGATGGATCATCGTAAGTCTTGTTTGTTTGTTAGAATGCCAAAAAGCTGTTTGTTTTGTATTGTCTGAGGGGATGGAATTATTGACAATTCTTGAAGGATTGTTGATTTTGCATTTCTTATTTCATTCTATCATGGAACGAAAACTGCAATATAACCCATATTTTTATAATGATAAAAGTATATATTTAAATGATTTAATAAAAATAGAATATTATTTTCTGAAATGCATGTATGTTTGTGCAGTGGAATGCAGATTACAGAAGCACTGAAGCTGCAGATGGAGGTGCAAAAGCGACTGCATGAGCAATTAGAGGTCTTATTTTGCCTAAAATAAAATGCTATAGATTTTTTCAAAGTAAAGTAGGTTACATATATGAAAGTGTTATAGGTCCAAAGACAGCTTCAGTTACGAATAGAAGCCCAAGGGAAGTACCTAAAGAAGATCATCGAAGAGCAACAGAAGCTGAGTGAAGTCCTATCAGACGACAACTGCCAGGAATCCAAAAACCCAACCGACCCCCCTATCACTCCACCTCCTCCTCCCATCATCAAAAACTCCGCCCCCGCCCCAGTCAACGCCACTGATGAACATGAGCCCTTAACCCCAGACTCTGATCGCGGTTCACCAGTTATGAAGAAGCAACGAGTGAGCCTCAGCCAAGGGGTCGGCTTAACTCACCAAATACTCGACTCCAGCTTAAGGCAACATCCGGTCGTTTATGGAATGCCGGTTAACAATCAAGATTAAAAATTAAATTGAAATTGGAATTTGTCCCAGGGTCGGGGAATCGGGATTGTTTTCTACTTTGTGCAGTTTCTTTATAGAAAATATATATATATATATATATAATTTATGTTTGATTAGGTGGGATGGGTTTGGGTGTGGTAATACTCTTAAAACTTGTAATTCATGTTATGATGCCAAGACAAATTAGATGATGATGATGATATTTATGTATTTATTCATGGTGTGATGTTCTCCATTCGACGTTCCATGTTATATAAGGTCCAAAATCCTACTCAACTGTAACAATAAAAACTGTTTTGTATATATATATATATATATATATATATATATATATATATATATAACGAACAATCAATAAAAAAGTACATTGTTATAATGAAACATATCAAATCAGCAACTCAACTCAAAACACAAAGATGAAACCTGATAAAACATTTCCTTCAATAGTGCACAATAACTAGTAGGCCACCTACCGCCTAAACGCATTCCCTTCACTCTTCCGTTGAGAATAATGTGTTCTCCGGCGTACACTCTCCTCTATGGTGGAGCTGCCGCCCTTCTCAGCCCCATAAACGCTTTTATGGGCAGCATCCAGGAAGTTCCGCCCACCAGAACTTCCATGGCTAATCTCCTTAGCATCATCATCCTCTGCCTGCTTCAACCGCTTCCATCTTTGTTCTTCATGAAGCTCCGCATCCATTTGCATCTCCTTAAGCTTTCTAGCCCTATCTTCTTTCGAAAGTGCATTGCTATTTCTATGTACTGGTGGCCGATGATGCCTCCGCTCTTCCCTGTCCCTGTGATATCTTTCTGGTGAAACCCTATCCCTAGGGGCATTCTTTGAGCGGTCCTCCACCTGTCGAACATCATCATCATCGGAACTCATACGATGTTTGGACACCGTATGTTTTTCATGTTTTGACTTCTTGCGGTGATGTTTTTCTTTGTCTGAGGTTTTATCCTTCTGCTTCTTTGCTTCAACCTGATAAACAAGATTATGTTATGGTTAGATACACTGTGTTTATTACACAGGACACTTTGTTGGGCTATTTTCGATGATATGGGGTAGAGAAAGGGTATTCACGTCTTCTGCCATAGACGGGAGATCAAAAACAAGTCCCTGTCCCACCCAAAAAGGTGGGACAAGGAACTGCTCTCGATCTTCCATATGCATCAAAAGACATGAATGCCCTTTCTCTTCCTTGTCATCGAAAATAACCCTACAAAGCTTGCCTAACTGACTTCTGTCCCATGAAATGCATCTAAAATGACTATAAATTCTAATAAAAACAAAATTTTCAACTTACAGATTTACGGATCATGGCCATCTGGACTGGATTATTCTTTACACGAGCTAGTGCTTCCTGTTCACGCTGCTTTATCATAAGCAATGGATCCGAGTGCAGTTTCCTCCATGCATCATTAGCAGACTGTGGCTTATCTTCGAATAAAGCCCCTGGTGCACCCGCCTGTTACAACAGAGATGGTTAAATATAAATCCCCAAGAACATAAAAACTGTTCAAATGTAAAAAGATTGATGTAAATTAGAAAAAACTGAGGATGTCATTGTAACAACTCATAAAGGGAAGGATAGTTATAGTGGGATCACTTGATATGATTGAAAGCAAGTAACCTATGATTTCTAATTTAGGATGAAGAAGAAATTGAAAGGAAGAATTAGGGCACCTTGTTTGCAGAGGTGGAGGGTTCAGGTTCCGCCTTGGGGGGAAAAGATTCAAGAGCCTTGAACCCCGTATCTGAACTGTCCTTCCTTGAGGATAATCCCGAATCGTATAAGAAATCCAATCGTTCTTGCTTCCTGAAATATTACAAAAGTGAATCGGTAAGAATGTGAAAGATGAAACCCTAACCCTAAATCTGCGAATATGAAATTAGGGAAAGAGAAAGAGGAGCTTACGGAACTAAGCCGGCCTGTTCCTGAAGTTGACGAAATTCGGCTTTCTCCCTTTCCTCGTGGATTTGCTTTCGGAGTTCCTCGAGCTTCTTCTGTTCGGCATCGTGCTTCTGCTCCGCTTTCCAAACGTTTTCAATATTACGCAGACTACCCGTGTGCCATCCTTTCTTGTTCAGAAACTTCAAAGCCATTCTTGAAGAGCGGTGATTTGGTGTTCACTTGATGATCGAGACGACTCCCTCTTTATCGTCCTGAGATCGCCTCAAGAGTGAAGATTTTGTCTTGAAAGATGATTTGGTTATCTATACAGACGATAAAAGGTCAGATGATCGGCGTAAGGGAAATATGTATTATTTAAAGGGTTAAGGGATATGACAATTAGTTACTTCAAATATTTAAAGGGTTAAGGGATCGGCGGAAATATGTACATCCTGACTGATCAAAAATTATCATTTTATCATGCTTATTAATTGTACATCTGATCAGACACAGACATTTGATTTCAAACCAAACCAATGTTTTAAAAACCGGTTTTTTAGTTTAACCGGTATGGTGACCGGTTCAATTGGTTTAACCAGTTCGACTGTCGGGTGAACCGGTTTCTATATTTTTCGTGTTTTATTATCTATTTTTCTATACATACATACATATATACATTATGAATTTGTTGTTTACAAGTTCAAACATTAAAAATACACGTAAAAATAAGTTGCAAATGAATCCAAATACATTAAAATAACACATAACCATAAGTTTTAGTGTTTTATATCAATCGATATACGTCAAAAAGAAAATAAAGTATAATACCGAAACGAAATATAGTTTCAGATGAATACAAACACATCAAAAAACTTTATAACATTTACTATATGTTTTTATTTAGAAAAAACTAAATATATTTGAAAAAAAATCACCAAAGTTTATTATATAAATGGTTCTTTTTCATGTGTTTTTATTCGGTACCGGTTCAACTGGTTTATTTTGACCGGTTCAACTGGGTTTTTCTAAAAATCGGTCGGTTCAATCCGGTTCAGAAATCAATGTAAAACCGGTAATACTTGAACCGCTCCCTCTCCCGGTTCGACCGGCCGGTTCAAACCGGTTTTTAAAACATTGAACCAAACACATACAGAAAAATGTAATAGAGAAACAAAGGTCCAGTATACATAATATATACTTATCAATAATATATAGCAACAATATTGTTCTTATTCACAAGGTACAAGTGCATATTTCAAAAAAACATATGATATCCCCCCCCCCCCCCCCCCCCTCATTAGGCTAAACCTCTTAACATATATAAAACCTAAATTACCCAAAATGCCCTTCCACTACCAAAGATTTCCCAACTATATTTAGCTCAATTTAATTAACTATTTTTCCATTTCTACCCCTAACAAACACATTAGGCTGAAGTGGATGAGACGATGGAAGAAATCCCCGACAGGAAGAAGCATTGTGCAGAGGCATGAAATCGATTTCATGATGAGAATAGGAGAAGGCGTACCTGATGAGAAGAGGAAAATGAGTCGATCGGTGGGGGCAGAGGCATGAAAGAGGAACGTAGGGAGGGCAAAACCGGAAACGTTTCTCCCTTTCTCAGTCAGTCCATTGTTTTCTTCTTACCGAGCTAGACCTTTCTTTCGGAGTCAGATGGCAAATTTTGATTTACCAAACAACTTTAGCTGACCAAGTCAGCCAAAAATATCTGACCCGACTCGGTCAGACGCATATCAAATAGGGCCTAAATTTATTTATAATTTTCCAAGATTACTCAATTATAGAATTTATCAAACTAGCCACAAATTTTACAGATTCATCAGTAAAGTTGGGAAAATATTTATGAAATTTACCAAAATAACATCGTTTTAAAAAAAATCAGGAAAAATATATATATAGATTTCATCCGTGAAAATCTAGGTTTTTTTTAACGAATATTACCACTTTTTTGTGTTATAAATCTTCAAAACCCATTTTCACAAAAAAAAAAAATTGATATTGTAGCTTTGATATGCAAAAAACAAATAAATAAATTATCATACTTTTTCAGAGGATTTTGCAAAATCCTAAAATCTAATAATCTATCCAAAAAATCTTCTGAAAAATAGTGAGAAATATGTTATCAAGCTTTAATTTAGGATGTCAAAATCAAGATTTTTTTTTTCTAGAATGGCTTTCATTTTCTAAGACCGTGATTAAGATCAAACTGGGATCAAAAATCTTATCGGATTTAAATAGTTATAAGCTTAAAACTGAAAATACATCTCTATTGTTGACAAATAAGAAGTTATATAGTGTTCGGAACATAGTGATCAACTTAAAATTAATATATGAACTTTAAATCTAACTATCTGGATAATCTTATATGACAAATGATGTACTTATGTCATTTACCCTTCAATAGTATAATTATTTTTTCTCATAAAACTCTTTTAGCAAGTACAATGAATGCAAACACCACACAAAAAAAAAATGTTTTGTCAACAATCATAAAATAATCTAATAAATAAATAACAACCCACCAAGATGTGAGCTTATGTGGCTTTCTGCCATATGCGATGTTCAATTTTCGAGCTCAATAGACAAATTTTGTGATGTTGCAATTTAGGTCGTTTTTACTTATACGTTCCTACGATCAAAATCACGATTTTAACAACACTAGCTCCAATAAAATAATAGTAATCATTATATATTTTATTTTATTATTATTTTCGGTTCAAATCCATTAACACTACCAATGCATATTTATGCATACTTGGGTCCAAATAACATCACAAGGAATTCATAATATACATATTGTCTTCCTTTAAACTAATGATATCTAGATCATCGAAAAATAACCCATTCATTGCAACTGATCAAACAAATCATCAATTAAAATCATCAATTATCATAGAGTAGCTACATGTTTTTCATGTTCGTTTGTTTAAATAATGATTGTCAAAACACATTCTCATGATATTTTCTTAAAGAGACTTCTCCGTATAAAAAGCAATACAATTCTGCAGTTTATTTTGGCTAAAGATTGGATTTTTTGGAGTGATAATTTGCAAGTTATAAATAATGATTGTCCACTCTGTAGAATCAACAAGTAAACAACTAATCATAGAAAATTTCTCACATCAAAATAACCTAGAAAAATTAGCACAATTTATAACAAGTAAATATAAACAAAGACAAACATCAAACAACTTGATTGCAGCACGCAAAATGACCATTTTATTATATCTTGTAACTATATAGAATACAAATCTTGTTCTCTTCTTTTCTTTTCTTTTCTTTTCACACTCAGAATAGACTTAACACCCGAATGTGTCTTGTTATTATTGTTTAGAAACATTGCTACAATGTAATTGAATTAGATGTCCCCGTATACTGCACTCTTTCACCTGCAATTCAATCAAAAAACAATTAGCCCAAAATTCAAGATCCATTAAAATTTGCATAAAATTTCTTGAAGAAAGTTAAACCTGTGATGTATGTGTGTTTGCCAATAAATTTCCACATTCCTCTACAAGTGCTTTTTCTATGTTGATAACTGTCGCTAATTCTGAGCTCAAACTATCCATTTCTTCTGCCTGGATTTTGGACAAGATTCAGTAAATTACATCTTTTTGGACATTTTTGAAAAATATTTAAGAAAATGATGGTGGACTTTGGGAAATGGAAGGAAATAATAAAGGGTCAAGTGCAAGAAATAGAAACATATTTTTGTTGATTGATTTATTATATGAATAAGTAAGGGCAATTTTGCAAAAAAGCTAGGACTTAATGGGGAAGGACCTTGTTTCTCTAATGTCTTTATTAAGACGTTCTTTCTATGATGATGATCATCATCATCATCATGGTACTTTGCTATGACTTTTCTTTTGGAAAATAAGTTATGAAAAGTTGATATTTAACTCATGTCTCCTATATGTAATGTTGTTACCTTAGGCAGGAATGTTTGCATGTGGTCAACTATCATTTCTGTAGTTTTTACTGCTGAATCAAGAGCCTCAGCTGCTTCTTTTATGTTAACCTGCAAGAAAACCGCATCTTCATCATCACCAAAACATACCAATAGGGGTAATATGGTAATTTCACAAGGTAAAACAAGTCATGTCTTACCTGAACATTTCCAGTTACAGGAAGCCGAAGCAATGAGTTGGTCAAAGCACTGGTTGTTCCTGATAAGGAACATGTGTAATCTTCCTCCAAACCAGACCATTCATCAAGATAAGGCATCTAAAATAACCCACAAATAGATAAGTTAGCTTAATAAATAATGAAATTGTAAAAAATATAAATGAATACAAAAACCATTTATTCACCTGAGCCTCAATAATGGTGGAAACTGCTTTTATGCGTTGCAGTATTGCAAGTTCAGCTTGCTTCTTCTTCACAGTCTCACGTAGATGAGCTATATCAGCTCCAAAGGAAAATAGTTGATTCTACAGAAAAATACAAACTTTTTTAATCAGAAATATTAGACAATTATGTTAGAAATATACTGTAATCTATAACAATATTACATTTATGATTCGCAACTTATGACCAATTTTCAATGGACCTTGTAGAATCTCGATGGACGATTCATTCTTTAAACTTTTTATGAATTTTTATCTCATCAAGATCAAGTTGATTCCACAGGAAGAGAAAGTTTCTTGATTACAAAGTATTAGACAATTATGATAATAACAATATACAGATGTAAAAGGTACTAAAGACTATTATTATATCCTGGAATAGGTAATAGATGTCATCAGATCAGCCTGCATTCATCAAAAAATACTTTTTGTACTCATAATTATCAACAAGGAGAGACAAACCTCCATTGACGTTTTCTGGGTTTGCATAGTGACTTGTGCTTTAGCGTTTGCGTATCTCCATTGCAAGTAATGATTATGAAGCAATTTTAAAGAATGGATATCTTCTTGGGAAGATTGAGGTTTCCTTGCCTTCCTTGAATCAACACCGAGTTTCATACTGGTGGGTTGTGGTGGCAGAGAGTTGCTTTTGAAAGAATTCTGACAAGAGGATATTGACAAATTAAGAGATCGGGAGCAAAGGGAAGACGAAGAAAACTTGGATAATGGAGGACAATTGCCAACGTCGGTGGTGCTGCTGCAACTGCTACTTCGAACGATCAATCTGGTGGATAATGTATCTTCGGCTGTCATGGAAGATCTCGTATCCGGAAGAGGCCATGTTCTGGTGTGTTGGGAGGAGATTGGGGAATTAGGGCACGAAGTTGAACCCCCGTGCATCTGTTCCGATTCGTTTGAGGGAGGTTGGGATTCAACAAAGCTCTGAGAAATTGCTATAGCGGTATCATTATTGGAGCTGAGATTGGACGATGAGAAGGACAATCCCGTCGATTGCAAGAGTTTAGCAGCATCAGTTACCGATGAACTCGTCGTCTGACGCTGTGGGAGCCTGAACCTTGAGGGAACGATCCTATCTGTCGTAGCTATTGGCGTATCAGATCTGGAAGATTTGCCTGTTCTCAGAGAGGTTGATTTAAATTTCTGAACTCCAAATCCATTCTCTTTGGCACTTTGTTTCCGGTGAATCGGAAAGGTATCAGGTTTAGCGTGCTGAAACGGGGTGTCCATGCTCCGAAAAGTCTCTGGGATGTTTTCGTGAGAAGAAGAAAAAGAAGCAGAAGAAGAAAGAGGTTCATGTTCATGGCTGCGCAGCACCAGGCGTCTCTGAGAGGGTGAGGGTTTTGATGATCTTTCAGGCACCGGAGTTGAGACTGAGTGATTAGATCTGGATATAGGTGACTTCATGGTCAGAGAGTGGAGATCACCGGCAGATGAAGAAGCGGCTGGAGACATAAACCTGGAGCTGACCTCTCTAACTCTTGGGCGGCGGTGAGGCAGAGGAGGAGGAGGAGGAGCCCCCTGATCCGCCGTTGACCCTGGAACAACTGCGGCAATGGAGTTGCTCATTGTCACCGGAAACAATGGAGCTGATTCAAGTGAGAAATGGTGAGGGAGGTCGGAGAAGGAAGATGGAGAAAGTAGCCGTTGCTGATTGTTTTCAAATGTTGGGGGAGCAACGGTTCACAGACCATAAAACTTGTTAATGTTTGCATCCGTTTTAAATCCATAAATAATGTCTTTATTTTAGGTATATTTCCGCCCAATTATCTTTTAATCTTTAAAATTATCTTTTAATATTTAACTAAGTTTTGCACGATTATTTATGATGTATACATTTCAAAGTTCTAAATAACGTGAAACGTGGGTTTGACGGTGGTCAAATCTTAGTTATGACGAGCTTTGACGAGTAATGGCGTTTTTCAATACATGATAATCTTATATACATTAAAAAAGATAAATCATATAATTATATAATTATATCAAATATATCAAGTTTTTAGAAGTGATATATTATCATTTAATATAAAATTTAACAAAAACCCAATTGTTTTATGTCCGATAAAAAAACAAAAACAAAAAAATCAAAAGGAAATTGTGCCTTGAAAAAAAACTCGCGCCATAACGCGATAAAACACGCATTGACACGTTATTTGGATGTCACACTTAACAAACTTGCATTAGACGTTTTTGTAACGACTACACCACGCTTCGCGTCATGACACGTCTTTGGGGGCACCATGACGCGCCTTTTAGAACCATGATACATTCTTATACGATTATGTTAGACTAAGGTTATCTGGTATGGTTACCACGGCCATAGCCGTCAACAAAAAACACAACCACAACTCTTCATATTGATTTTGGGATGGTGCGTGCGAGAAAGGAAGAGAGAGAAGGAGAATATTACAAATAGAAAGAGTCGTGGTGTAACGTCCTCCCTATCACATTCCTTCATGACAACGAGCAATAATGAGGTGGTCGGGTGGTGTTCGTTTTCGTGGTTCTCGTCAGGTGGACAACGAAGGCTCTCCGTTGAGAGTATACCGGATAGCCTAAGGGGTATGATTATTACATACCTAATAAAAAAGTGACATCATATCAACGTCACATCATCTTCAACACATCGTTACTATCACACAACTAGAACCGGTAGGTGTGTTACCATAACCTAAAACTCACCACACTTATTTTCTCCTCATCATCCCTTCACCCCATAAAACTCATAGGAAATGGTATTACATCCACCACACGTTTTTTTCTTTTCTTTTAAATGTAATTTAATAATTACAGTGCATGTTTTTATACACAAAGTACTATCATTGGGAGTGGAATTGTTTTTCTCGTGCGGTATACTTCTCTCGTAGCCTAAACCAATTGACTGCATCCCTGGATGATGTCGTATTCACCGCACCACCACGGTGACACGTCACCCACCACAAGGTGCGGTTTCGTTCCACTCCGTATGGCCTAACCCTTGGGAATGGTCACCATTCCACATTATCTATATTTTTTTTACATTAGATTATATAAAAAACATAATTTTTAAAATTAAATAAACATTTCACTAATAAAAAATTACATTGAAAACCTACATTACAAATTGAAAATACATAAAAATTTAAACTTAGAAATTTAAACCTACATCACTAATAAAAAACATTGAAATTAAACTAGAAATTTAAACTACTACTCGTCGTCATCATTCTCATCGTCATCGTCCTTGTCGTCATCCATATTGTCATTGTTCTGACCGAATTGCTTTTGTCATATGTCTTAAGTTAAATCGTGACGTAGATTGTGATGCGTTTCTCTATTTTTATTGACAAACGTCTCGTGAAGTATGTTGGGTTGCCGACTTGTATTAGTACAAGTGGATTAAGTATATCGTTCGGACTATCCATACAAATAGCCCTACCTCATTCTTTTATTATCATGTTATGTAAAACGATACTAGCAGGTATTACCTTCAGATGTTGATTATGCGTCACTTGCTTTTGAGGACTCCAAACGCACGTTCCACATCCTTCTTTGCTGACTCCTGTGCTAACTTGAACAAACTCCGTTTCTCATCGTTCGGATGTGAGTATGACTTGACAAATGTAATGTGCTCTAGATATATCCATTACCAAGGCATGTTTGGAGCTTTACCCTGCAAAATTTCGTTAAATGTTGGAGACACTCCAAGCATATCCAGGTCGTTGTTTGACCCCGCCATACCAAATAATGCATGACAAAATCATAGGTCATGTGAAACAACTGCTTCTAGTATTATAGTCGGCACCCCATGACACCTTACGTGAATTGGCCTCACCATGCATTAGTGTAACACCCGACTTTTAACACAAGGTACACCCAAAAATTTTCACTTATTATTTATAAAAACACATTGATGTACGTTTACATTAACAATCCAGTACAAGTAGTTATCACCAGGTTCAGTTAAAAGAAATTAGAATACAATGATCTGAGTCGGGTATCACAATCTCTCTCTTCGATCTTAACTTCCTAAATAAGGTTAACTACAAAACACACATCAACAATAAATGATAAGCTATAGAGAACTTAGTGAGTAATCCTTAACAATGATACACATAATAATTATGACATATAAATACACCAATCACCAGGTGTATAATTATTTGAAACTTGCTTACCAATTAAGATTCACAATTTACTTGTCACTCAACTTACCATACTCTCTCTCTCTCTCTCTCCGTACTCTCTTTATACTTATTCTCTTTCTTTTCTCTTTAATCTTTCTATACCCATCCCCTTTCTATTTCTCTCTCCCTATCTTTATATTCATATTTACTCTTTGTTGAGTTTTTATTCAAAAAATTGTTTCAAAAACATAAAAAATGCAACGGAAGATTTAAGATTTGAACAAAAATAAAACTAATTTAATTCCCACCAAGGATCATTTTGCAAGAGTTAGAAAGATTAAAACAGTCATAGAAGAGAAAGCATAACAACCTTTGAAGACTTTGATCCTCATGGGAGGTTGGATTGATGAAGATGCCATTAAGCTCTAAATTAATAGCTCTCTAAAAGTATCCACCAAGCAAGAGTAGAACCATCAAAACATGCTAGTATACACTTGTATTAGTTGTTCATAAGCCTTAGAAATATATACCAAATAGGTTGCTAGATCTTATGTTTTGTCCCTTAATCTTTATGTTTTGTGAGTTGGAATGATGAGATTTCATAAAGCTTGCAACTTTATGAATCTATGGGACTTTTGGGTATGATTATTGGTTTGGATCTGGTTTCTTGATGGGTACTGAGCCATGCATGAGATTTCCATAGAAAAACCCTTATTTGGCTCATTGTGGCTTCAAGACATGCATTGGACATGCATGTCTATAAAGCACCAGCTTTTATGATGGATTAGGTATTAGAATTTGTTCTGGAAGTAAATGAGTTGTGGACTTTATGGGATAAGTGCTTGATGAGAAAAGTCATGTTATATTTAGCTCCTTTGAATCTAGGGTTTGAGATTTTGACCTTATGGATGGTCTTATCAGGTAAAGTTGAAAACTTTATCCTTCTAGACCTTGTTTCAGATCAGATCTGGAATTTGGAGCCTTTGGGATCGAAGAAAACAACTTAATCTATTAAGGTGCTGAAAAGTTAGTGCCCACGGCGTGGTTCAGGTCGCCACGGCGTGGCGGTGAGTAAAATCGCGACTGGATGTTATTGGAGGGCCCCGACGTGGCCATAGGTGGCCACGACATGGCGGTTGACTAAAGTTAACATTGACCGTTAACTTTGACCATTGACTTTTGACTTGAGCTAACTTTTGGTCAAGCACCTATTTTGGAGGAAAAGCTCAATGTTTATTTGGTTTTGATTAATTAGGTGGTGCGTAGCAGCGATACTATATCAATGATAACAATAGGAGTAGAGCATTTTCTGTGAAGTGAGTCTTCTCACCACACTAGTCGGTCGAAGGCACCAATGACAACCCACTGATTCATATGTGTTGGATGTATATGACTATGTGACTATTACTGATATGATTGTATGATATATGCATGGAGCCGATCTGAGCTCGGAGTCATTATGGACTCGGGGTTGATACAAACCCAGGGGTTGATACAAAACCCGACAAAACTACTTGTTGTTACATGGGGTTGATACGGACCCGACACAGCCACATGTTGTTATGTTTATATGTATGCGTATGTGGTATTTTGGGGAAGCTCACTAAGCTTTGTGCTTACACTTATGTTTATGGTTTCAGGTACTTCCGGTACAAAAGGGAAGGGCCCGACGTGATGACACAACAATTCTCCCCTCGTGTTTCCGCAATTATGATTCCTTTTACTCTGATGTTTTGAACAGTTTGTACCATGGTTGTTTTTGAGACTTATGATGTATGGGATTGATGATTTTGAAAATGAAAAATTTTAGCACTGTTTTTGGGACGTTACAACCACATTTATAGTTTTTGGTTTCCACTCGTGTGTTAGGTTCTTTGAAAACTGATGATATTTCTGATTGTTGTGGTTGTAACCTAGGAAAATTTTATGCTTTACCGTTTAATAAAAGTGTCACTCGTTCTATTGCTCCCTTTGATATTGTGCATTCTGTGTGGGGCCCATCCTTAGTCACCTCTAAATCGGGATCTAACTATTATGTTTAATTCTTTGATAATTGCACTCGTTATTTATTTTATGAAGCGCATGTCTGGCTTTTTCACCATATATAGTGTCTTTAGAGCCCTTGTCAAGACTCAACACTCTGCTGTCATAAAAAATTTTCAGTGTAATTTGGGAAGGGAATTTACCTCCAATGATTTTAAACATTATTGGCATCTAATGGTACTGTGCATCAATCATCATGTACAGACGCCCCTCAACAGAATGGTGTTGCAGAAAAAAAACATCGACATCTCATAGAAACTGCAAGATCCTTACTACTCTCTGCTCAAGTTCCCAATATGTTTTGGGGAGAAGTTTTTCTTACCGCCACTTATGTTATTAATCGCATTCCTACTGCGCAACCTTCGGGGAAGTCTCCTTATGGAATGTTGTTTGGGCAACTTCCAGATTATTCTTCATTACGAGTGTATGGGTGTACATGTTTTTTCTTGAAGCCTCATGTAGAGAGAGATAAGTTGTCTTCAAAATCAACCCTTTGTGTATTTTTGGGATACGGTATTGGTCATAAAGGTTATGGGTGTTATG